GGGGACTATATTAGTTGTGCTACTAAGTAAAGACCTTGGAATCATTGTGGATAGTTGTCTGAAAATATCTACTCAGTGTGCAGCAGCAGTCAAAAAAGCTGACTCTGTTGGGAACTGTTAGAAAAGGGATAGAATCTAGATAAAACAAAATATTATAATGCCATTATATAAATCCATGATACACCCACGTCTAGAATACAGCCACCAGCCTCATCTCAAAGTACAGTATGTAACAGCTTCCATATGAGGAGAGGTTAAAAATATTGGGACTAATCAGCTTAGAAAAGATGACTAAGAGGATATGATACACATCCATGAAATCATGAGTGGCGTAGAAAAAGTGAGTAAGGAAGTGTTTACTATTCATATAACACAAGTACCAAGGGTCACTCACAGATAGATAGCAGGTTTAAAACAAACACGAAGTACTACTTCACACACAGCACAGTCAGATTTTGGAACTAATTGCCAGGAGATATTGTCAATGCCAGATGCATAACTGGGTTAAAAAAATAAGTTCATGAAAAATGTGTCTATTAATGGATATTAGCCAAGATGGTCAGAGATGCAGCCTCTTGTTCTCGGTATCTTTAAACGTCCATATACCAGGAAATGAGACTGGATGACGGGAGATATAGCTCACTTGATAATTGTCCTAGTCTGTTCATTACCTCAGAAGCGTTTCATCTCTCACTGGCCATTGACAGAAGACAGAATCCTGTTAGAAAATGGTTAGATGGACCATTGGTGTGCCCCATTATGGCCATTCTTATGACAGATGTTATTTTGGGTAATTACGTTTTTCCTGCCCTTACCCAGGGTAACTAAAAGTGAAACTCACTGGCCCCACCCCACTGGGTGCAGAAGTGGGTCAGATCAGCAGCTCCCTGGCTAGTGTGGTTCACATAATGGTGGAGACAGCCAGCATGGCTTCCTAACCTCCCACTTCTGGGCTGGCAAATACATGAGCCTGATTAAATACCTTCTCCTCCCCTCCCCCTCAAATTATTTTGCAGGTTGGATTGGGGATGTGCTTGGGCCACAGATAGCCCCCAGGCAAGAAGTTTGAGATCCCTGGTTTACACTACACAGTTTTTAGTGACATTGCTATGTCCCTAAAAGTTAAAACAAAAGGAAAAACTATGTAGCACTTTAAAGCCTAACAAGATGGTCTTTAAAGTGCTACATAGTCTGATCTTGCTAAAACAAAAGGAAAAACTAACACAGCTACCTCTCTATCCCTAAAAGTTAGGCAGTGTGAACCTTACTTGTCAGCACGTTTGCCGACAAAATATTTCCACCTCCTATGAGCGGGGCTCACGTTGTTGACAGGTGAGTGCTCCTGTCAATAACGAGCTGTTTACACTGGGAGCGAGCTTTTTTTAAGAGTTTGTTCAATTGTTAGTCTAGATAAAGCTTCAGGAAAACTTTCTAAAAACAAATACCAATACGAATTGTTTTTGTTTGTATTCTCTCCTACACCCTACCATAGTTTTCAGGTGTTTTGTTAGATTAGTCGTGTGGAGGGTTGGTTATCTGTAGTGGTGTATTTCTTTATGCAGAAACAAAGGAAAAAGCTAACTCAATCATGTAAGTGGAGAATGATTAGATAACTGAAGTCACTCTCATAAAAGGTAAGAATGATGACTGACCTAAGTCCAACTCTTGTGAAACTTTATCTTCTGTATTCGTGGACTTCTGCTTTCAGAATAAAACAGAATAGAAGATGCTTACTTGTCAGGATGGTAGGATTCTCTCCTCCCTAAAACCCCTTGAAATTGAGTTTGTTTTCCCCAAAGTCATTACACTGTAGTTTTTCTCTACAAAGTGGAGATGCAAAATAGAGCAGCAGTAGAAGTGCTTAAAGCTCGAGGTGTGGCAACTCACTGCATAAGAGGATTGGATAATAGGGAGAAACAACTGAGCTACTTGAATATTTTATAACTTAATTCATGAGCCATTAAATTCTATAACTAGTAATTCTGACATTACAGAGACTATGGGCTGAATTCAGCTGATTGGCCTTGACACAGAGAAAAGATAGAAACTGTTGTGTTTATCTAATGAAATACTGACCCAGTACGAGAGAGTTCACAGTGTCAAAAGATGGCAGTTAATTTATTTATAGTATTAATATCCCGAAGTATGGGAAGCGGGTAATGTAGGCAAGGAAAGGTGTTGCCTTCCCAAAAAGACAGGTGTGGTCCTGCCCATACTTTCCCGGCTGGGAAAACTGGGGCTGTGAGGATGCTCCAGGAGCTGGAGCAGAGCTGGAGCTGTGGTACTGGTGGGGAGTTGCTAGTCTTGGCGAGGGGCCAGTGGTCACAATATTGGGGTGGCACTGGGGCACAGAGCAGGGGCCAGTGGCCACAATGAGGACTGGGCTCTGGTGGGCATAGAAGTGGTGGAGCTAAAGCTTTCCTCCCCATGCCAGCCTTCACCTACCACCAGTGCCCATAAGCCTTCAGTTGGGTTCAGCTCTGCATTATACCAAGCACTTACAAACTCTTAGGAAGAGATGGTCCTTGCTCTCAAGCTTAAAACCTGCGACTCAGCAAACAAGTGAAGAGTCAGAGGAGAAGGTGGCTTAGATTAATATTAGTTGGAAAGACATAGCTTCATATGACTAGATGGCTACAAGTGACTGACATTTACGATACCACACTCTTAATATACAGCAGTCCATAAACATATTTTAAAGGCTTTACTAAGTGATCCTTTCTCCAGATTTCTTAAGACTGAATAGCTAAATTAATTAAAATAGTGCATGTATTAAAAGTCATTCCCTGTGATTTTCTTAGCAATTCCTTGCCTATGTTTAAGTATTTTATTCTTTAAAAATCTCCACATATTAGTGAAAACTTTAAAGCATGAAAATCATGGTGTAAGAATTTCTAATGTCTTAGGCTGTCTAGACTACATCTCTCTTTTGACAGCGGGATGTAAATTAGACACTTTGAAATTGCAAATGACGCAGAGATTTAAATATCCTGCACTTCATTTGCATAATTGCGTAATGGCGCACTTTCGAACAAGCGCCATTTCAAAAGTAAAACTGCGGTCTAGACGTGGTTCTCTCGAAAATGGCAGGATCTTTCAAAAGCCGGGTCCGTCCGAACCCGGCTCTTCCGGATTGTAATCTACTTGCCACGGGCAAGTAGATTGTATTATTTGTCGAGCCCTGTATATTATAGGCAGCACGGGTATAGAATGAGGCAGGAGTTCATTGGAGAAAGTCTGTATCCTCATGTGATACAGACTTGAATTACAAAACATATACACAGAAGCCAAATTAAAGTTGCACAGATGCTTTAATTCTGATATTTCCTGACTTTTGAGGTACTTGACTTTGCCATGGTACCTTATTATGGCTCTTTGAATATATTATAAAGATCTAAGTAAGTAACAGTCTGTAACTCTAAACTGAGAGTTGTATGCTGTGAAGGCAAAACTACACAATGTTGGAAAGTGCAATAACTATGAAATCATATCACTACCATCATATATGTAAGAACATTTGAAGATATTTGGTTTGCTTCAGAAAGCAATTAACAATTTGTGTGACATTTGCGTAGAAGGCCATACTGTGTTGTTCTTGGTGCTTTGTGACAAATCGGTCATGTAGTCAAACTGATGCTGAAGTAAATTGCTTAAATGAAAGATTGTTTTCAAAGACCAAGATATTGTTACTGCCAATTTTTGTATATTAAGCAGTTTCATTTTAGCTTTCTCTAATTTGTTTTGACAACTTCATGTTGAAGGTCAAGGCACTGGAAAACTATGTAGTGGAATTGATAACTGTCATCCCCCACAAATATCAAGGATTATGCATATTCTCCTAGATGAAAAATCTCATTCACAGGCCACTCTGCAATTAAACATTTATTTATATGTAGCTTTCTGTGTTCCCCTAAAACAACTGAATAAATAAAGGGGCATGACCTCTGCTGAAATGATTTGCAAAGACCAGGAACTTGTATTCTTATCTGATAGGTTGCATGTAAGCAGATCATGGATATTATGTGTTTGTTTAAGGGAAGATTATTTATTATCTTTGAATGATTTAGTATATTTGGCAATCCTTCAATCTAATCTTGATGACACTTCCAATTACTTATTTAAATGACTCCCAGACATTTCTGAGGGTCCAGTTCAATACCCAATTAAACTGATCCTCATACCCTTACAAAAATTTGTCACATCTTGCATTGGAAGTTCAGATCAAGTTTGTTTTAGATGGGAGCAGTTACTAAAGTAATCGATTTAACTTACTGGCTTTTTTTATGGGCTAGTTTTTATCCATGTGTAGTTATATCACTAAGAAATGGTCCTACACAACAAGTCGGGGTGGGCAAAAGGGCCTCTGTGGGCCAGATTCGGCCCCACCAAGTGGGTGGATCTGGCCCACGGAGACCCTACTGCTCCCTTGCCCCCAGGCCAATTAGGGCTTTGGAGTGGGGGAGCGCCGGAAGCCTTCTCTGCTCTGCCTCCGCCCTGCGAGTAGCGTGTGGTGTTTCAAAGCACTGTGGGCTGCTCGCAGGGTGGGGGCAGAGCGGAGAAGGCTTCACGTGCTCCCCCACCCCAGGCCTTAATTGGTCTGGGTGCGGGGGAGCACCCAAAGCCTCCTCCCGCCCTACCAGGAGCACGTGGCGCCTTGAAGCACCACACACTGCTCGCAGGGCCGGGGGAGTAGAGCGGAGGAGGCTTTGCGCGTCCCTCGCCCCCCAGGCCCTAATTGGCCTGGGGTAGGGGAATGTGCCAAGCCTCTTCCAGGGCATGAGTGCCTAGTTGGAAGGGGGAGCAAAGGGACTCCCCCACCCCCAGACCAACCCCTTCCCATTTGAAGTGGCCCCTGGGCAAAAATTGTCCACCCCTGCAATAAGTGCTTTGATAATATTTGCGGTGGGAAAAGATATTTCAGTGAAGGCAAAATGATGTAATGAAAAGGTAGCGATTATTTCTGGTTAAGGTCTGTAACTTGTTCCTATGTTTTCCCAAAGGAGTCTCAGCAGATGCTTGGAAGGTTGATTCCTGAAAAACAATTACTCAATGATCAGCTAAAACAAGTACAGCAGAACAGTTTGCACAGTAAGTGTGTGTTCATGTATAAATAAGTTTGAATCTGTTTGTTACATATATCATTCATATCACTGATAATTTTTTATCTTGCAAGAGAAAGTTGAGAAATGGAATAGTTGGGTGACCTAAAGATCTCAGTGTAAGAAAATATCTCATTTTGACAATATGTTTAAAAACAGGGGATTCTCTTCTTACTATCAAAAGAGCCTTAGAAGCCAAGGAATTAGTACGCCAGCAGCTTCGAGACCAATTGGATGAAGTAGAAAAAGAAACCAGATCTAAACTACAGGAAATTGATACTTTCAATAATCAATTAAAGGTAATCTATGTTGATCCTTTTTTCTGATTGTTTGGTTGATCAGTTGTTAATTTGATCATGGGCAGAAACATTTTACTAAAATATGATTAATTCAAAATGTTGATGTTAAGACTATTATACAAAGCGACTGCATTCTGAAATATATTGTACTCTTTTTCCTTTTAAGAAAATAAAATTTTGATAAATTGGCATTACTGTATACCGTACTCTGAACAAGAGGTTCCAGATTAAATCTGAACCTATTTAGGAATAAGTTCAAATGATATGATCCAAGATCTATGGTTACACTTGAAAAAACTGCCACCTTCTATCCTCCCCCTCTAGAAACAGAGGTTCTTGGAATATGGTGGGATTGCTACTTCTGTACAGTTTACGTGCCCTTTATTTTAAACCTACTGAAAAGTGACTTGACTAACTTCTAGGCAGAATTTTTCTGCCAGCTCAAACTCACACTTGTTTCTGACTGTAGTTGCTCTTCATACGTTCACTTTTACTGTTTAGTCAGTTCATAGATTAATTAGTCATTTGTTGAGACTGTGGTTTATATAATCACATAGTAAAAGTGGAGATAGCAACAGCTAGAAAAATGAAGAGCATCCCTTCAAAGATATGTTTGACTATTTCTTGACAGTTATTTAAAAAAAAAAAAGAAAATGAGAATGAACTTAACTCACTGTATCTGATATTTTTTTTAAAAAAACCAGCACCCCAGATAACATATAACTAATATTATATATTGTAAGAAATACATTGAACATCTCCTTTTTGATTTATATATTTGTAACAAATGAAGGTTTTTATAGCTGATTCTGGTTTGAAATTAGATCTCATTAAGACAATTGTCATTTATATTAAGTTAATGTGGATACACATATGAATTATATATGTTTTGTATGACTATATCCTAAAATAATGTTGATGAATTGGATTTTTAATCCACTTTATTCTTGAAAAGGGCACCATGCTAATTGTCTGATTGTCATTAGTTGCTACAACACTGTGTTTTGAAATACAAGATCAACTGAATAATTTAACAAAAGTATTGTGTGCCTTTTTGTTATTGAAGACCGTAGGTCAAGTCTTATTGGAAGACCTGATGTTTAAGATTACTGCTCCTATCTTTAACAACATAATACAGTATACTTCCAATCTGGCACCTTTGGAACCCAGAGAGTGCCGGATTATTGGATATGCCGGAGTACCGGAAGGGGTCTATGAGAGGCCTGGGGGCGGGAGGGGGGATTGGCAGGGAACTGCGCAGCATCGGCAGCACTCCAGCTGCTCTGCCCCCGGCTTCCCCAAGTCTGCCGCTGGTCAGTTTCAGCAGCGCTGGACTTGGGGAAGCCTGGGGCAGAGCAGCTACGGTGCTCTGCCCCCTCCTCCCCCCGGCTTCCCCAAGTCCAGCGCTGCTGAAACTGACCAGCGTCAGAGTTGGGGAAGCCGGGGGCAGAGCAGCTCCAATTGTCCGGCTGGCCAGAGCACTTCCGGTTTCCAGTTGGTGCCAGACTATTGTGGGTGCCAGACCACTGGAGTTTTACTGTATATAGTTGTGGCACCTCCTCAAGGTGTCCAGGACTGAGTTGCCTTGTTAACCTTCCCCTACCTACAGTGAGAGTTGGGATTGGTCCTGCCTTAGGCAGGGGGCTGGACTTGACCTCCTGAGGTCTCTTTCAGCTCTATGATTCTATGAGACACAAACCTGCTGGTGCTTAACTGAGTATCGGCTCCCTGACTACACCAATCTGTAAGCCACACAGTCTCCTCAGGGCAATTCCAGAACTTGCTTTGCTTAACAAAGTCAATCAAGTTAATGATAGCTGCATCCCAGTCACCAAGCTCCTTTTGCATTCCCCTGTGATATCTAGACCCTGTCACTAGCTATTCTCAGAAATACCAGGTTCGTTCGCACCAGCGGGATGGTGTATGCACCAGCTTCTTTGATTCAACTGAGGATCAGCCCCCATATAACATCACAGCACTGATCTACTTTTATAGTGAAAATAATCGTAAGTTTATTATCAAAGGAGATGGTGTGAGAGAGGGAGGATAATTAAAACAGGTTACATATAAAAGCAAAACAAATACATGGCTTCTAGAGACTTCACTTAATTTTAACAGGCAGTCTAAAAGCAGTCTTTGAAGCATTTCCAACCAAGGGCTGTTTGGAGTCCCATTTTCGATAATGTCATCACACTGCTTTTATTACTTCCAAGTGCAGGAAAAAGGAATATCCAGTTGCCTCCTTGTATTCTCCAAAGTAATTGTTTGTTCCTTGACTTGAGGACTCTTGTGGCTTATTCCCTGGCATGCTCCTCTACCTCCTCCCCTGGGAGCTGCAACCCCCAGTTTGAGAAATGTAGATCTAGATGAGTTGAGTACCTTCTGGAAGATGTACTCCCACAGATACGCTTACCCCCAGTTGAGAACCACTGTCGTAGTGCCCATTTGTTACTTTCAGATCAGATTTGAAGTAAGGATGTTAACGTATAAATGTTTAAACCATTAACTAATAAACCTGGGCTTATCAGTTAATCCAAATGACTACATATAACCAGATGCAGCAAGGGAGGTGGAAGGTGGGATCTGGTGCCTGTGGGGAACTGGTTTTTAAGCCAGCACCTCACGTGTACCGGTTCCTGTGGAGCTTCCCTCAGAGGCAGCAGCAGTGGGAGCAGGTGGGATCAAAACCCAAGATAATCTCATCTGAAGAAGTGGGTTTTGCCCACAAAAGCTCATAATACTAATATACATATGTGTTTTTTTGTTAGTCTTTAAGATGCCATAGAACTATTGTTTTTAAAGTTACAGACTAACATGGCTACCCCCTCTGAGACTTTTAAACTGGAAAGGAGACCTTATTCTTGTACTGAAATCTCCCAACTTTGGTCTTAGCAGACAGAGACGGCAATGGTTTTCAGTGTTGTTACAAAATGTGCTCAGTTGTTATAAAATAAACGTAGTTGTAGGTAGGGATGTTAGATACCATATTTTTCAGTAATCATGTAGTCACCACAACAATTTTTAATGGTTATTAAAATACAGGCCAGGGCCAGCAGCCAGTGTGCTCCTGGCCCCACTCTGTCCCTGGCCACTGTGGACAAAGGCTGCTTTGTGGCAACAGCCCTTGCCCCTGCACTGCTGCTCTCATAGACAGGTAACAGCATGGTGGGAGTGGGGGGAGGGCAGGTGGCTCTGTGAAGCCAGTGCTTGAGGGGAGCCAGCTTTTAAGCAGTCTTCCATCCTCCTTCCCTCCCCACGCTACCTCTGGGGGAGGTAGCAGTGGGGGGTGGGAGCAAGTGGCTCCACAGAACCAGCACACGTATAGTGCCCCCGTGGGTATCCGCTCCTGCCTACCTTCCCCACATTGCTGTGTATGATAGAGGTAGCAGTATGGGGGGAGGGAAGACAGCAAGCGGATTCGCGAGATCCGGTGCTTGTGGGGAAGTGGCTTTTAGGCTGGTTTCCGCTGAGCACCAGCGGGGGAAGGGGCAGGTGACTCCACAGGAACCAGATTAAAAGCTGGCTCCCAACGGGCACCGGCTTCTACCTCCGTGCCCTACTTGCTGCCTCTCTATCAGAGGCAGCAAGAGGTAGCATTGTGTGTAGTCATTTGGATTAACTGATAACCCTAGGCATATCAGTTAATTGTTTCAATGTTTATGTGCTAACATCTATAGTTGTATGGTAAGCCTACATATGTAAAATACAAAGTACAGTAGAACCTCAGAATTATGAACAATAGAGTTATGAACGGACCAGCCACCCACATGCTTCATATGGGCCTGGAAGTGTGCAATCAGGCTATGGCAGAGACAAAAAAAACAGACAGTATAGTGCCATGTTAAACAAACTACTAATAAAAGATATTACAAGGTAAGGAAACTATACAGGCAGTCCCCGGGTTACATGGATCCGACTTACATCGGATCCCTACTTACAAACGGGGTGAAGCAACCCCGCAAGCAGACCAGGGAGATGCGAAGCTAGCGCCCCCCCGAGCAGACCAGGGAGACGCAGACACCTCAGCTTGAGAATAAAGCCTGAGGGAAGTGAGGTGTGGGAGAATAAAACTGAGCTCTGGAGAAATGTTTGGCTAGAGTTTCCCCTACAATATGTACCAGTTCCGACTTACATACAAATTCAACTTAAGAACAAACCTACAGTCCCTATCTTGTACATAACCCGGGGACTGCCTGTACTCCTGTTTTAATTAAGAGGGTTAAAACCAGCATTTTTCTTCTGTAGAGGAAAGTTTCAAAGCTGTATAAAGTCGATGTTCAGTGGTGAACTTGAAAAAGCAACCATAACGTTTTATTCAGAGTTATGGTTGTTTCAGAAGTACAAACAACCTCTGTTCCTTAGGTGTTCATAACTTTGAGATTCTATGGTATTCTGCCGTTTTCATGCAATCAGAACCTCAAATGAAGTGAATGGGCGTTCAGTGCAAAGAGCTCTTGCAAAGTCAGTTTGTACTCCTTTTTGGAATTTGTAACTTGATGAACTTTTTAAAAGAAGTAGAAACACTCTCAAAATTAGAGTAGTTGATGGTTAATGGTTCTCATTCAGTTTTAAAATGGCCTGCTTAAAAATAAATTACCCTTATCACAAATAGTTGGGCTTCATCTTTAATGTATTTGTTGTTTGAGTTTTTAAAAGTTTGACTGCTGCTATGCTCCAGGATTTTTAGTTCCATTTCTAGATTTAACGATTTAGTGTTGTTTTTAACTACTTAAGATCAAAGAAAGAAAGAATTGTTAGAATAAAGAAATTAAGTGAGGATGAGGAAAAGGGGCACTTAAAATGCTGCTATGTTCTTAATAGCTAATTAAAATTATTGTAACTTGTAACAGATTATCTTCAAAGCTACCACTGTAACTCTTAACTCCTCTTTTCAGTAGCAGTAGAAATGTTAGCTAAGCCAGGATTTAAATTGCAACTTGGAAAATGAGCCAGTTACCAAACAAGTGTAAGTGAGGGAAGAGGGTGCTGAGCAGAAAAAAGAAGCTGGAGGAGGAAGAGATGCATCAAAGAAGTTCTTGAAAGCAGTTCCCATACATATCTAAACTGAGCGTGCCACAGTCTACCTATCCACACTTGAGATGACAGCAGCAGCAAGTTGATCACCTGAAAAAACTACTAGACCAATGGTTTTAAAAAAATCTAAATAGAATGGAGCAGAATAAAATTACATATTCATTGGATTGGCATAGTTATAATGGAGGGTCTGGTGGTTTTATTGACCTTACAAATGCATGAATTTACAAAGCAGATGACTGTTCTTATTCATGGCTGACCTCTGAAATTTGTATTTCCCACGTGATAAATGTTTATAAACTCCATTACTGCTGATGTTTGTGGATTATGTTGAATATAATTTGACTTTCTGCATTCATAATAGCTTGATGCCGGTAGAAATTGTGTGTGGGCATAAAGAGAACTTTCTCTATGGTTACACAAAATAAGTTAGTTTGAAACAAAGGGAGAATCCTTAACACCGCAAAATACTGTAAAGTGCAGAATTAAATAGGTGAGCTAGTTCAGCAAGGTCAGGCACTACCTCAAGCTTCAAGTGCTCTCTACCTCTAAAACTGTGCAAGGTCCCTGGCTCTCCTTGTGTCTCACTCATCATTCTCTGTCATGTGCTGCCAACTGTTAGAGATCCCACGAGTTGTGATGAATATTGGCATTATGCTTCGCCTTTCAAATCACTTCACACACTCCTTCCCCACAAAATTGTGCTGTGCACAAGTGCTTCTAACCATGTGTGCATGTGCAGAACTTGAAAAATTTCCCAAATGCCTTAGTTACTTTAGAACCAAACCTGTTGTGTGTTCTCAAATGCGTATCTGAGGTTTCTGTTAGCCTTTAAGTTTGTGTGACTTTCTATGTAGAGCTGGTTGAGAATTTTCCAACTAAAGCATTTTGTCAGAAATTGCTAATGCATTGAGTCTGGAATGTTTCACAGAAATGTAGGAGATTTGGCAATCTTTCAGTGAACTGCAGGCATGGTTCAGAAGGAAACATGCCTTGTCTCCAGCCATCTCTTGTTTGGCTGCTGGGGAGCCCAGGCTTTCAGGGGGGATGTAGGTCTGGAACAGTCCCACAAGATGACTCCCTAGCCTCAATGCACTCTGAGATCTTTTAGGTTCCTGGGACAGTGGACTCCTGGGGCTGCCCTGTCTCTTGCAACCTGATGAGGCAGCTACCCAGGAAGTCTTAAAAGCAGCTGACTAAAATTGATAGGATTCTCCTCACTTTCACTGTTGCTCAGTGGTGGACGGCATTGAAACTGACAACAATCATATCAATTTCATTTTGCAACTTCAGTCTTGTGGGGCATATTTCATTTAAAAAAATCCAGTGTCTGTTTTTATATTGAAAATTATATGGAATCTACATGTTGTAGGAAACTTTTGAAGTGTCAAAAGTTTCAGCGAACCAAAATTGAGTTTTGTCCCACTCTTTTTCTAAATAATAATAATGTTTTGCCAAAACCGTTCACTTTTACTCTGTACTAACGTAGCATAGTTTTAATGTTTCATTAAGACATGAAAATTTCCTGCCATTTATGGTTATTTTTATATACTTGAAGATAGATTTTTATTCATAAACTAGAAGTGGTTATTTAAAGATATGAGACTAATTTTCAAGGGAAGAGACAGAAATATCTAAACTCTTCATAATTTCCTTCAGTAGGGAAAATGTAGGTTGATTACAGATTTAATAAATCTTAAAAAATAAATGTCAATATTAGGGCCATAAAATCCCACTTGATCAGTTAACTGGTAAAATGTTATGTTTAACTGGTTAACTGCTTAAATGGGGGTGGGAGCCAGGCTGGGCACCTGCCAACTAACTAATCAGGTGATGCTTACCAGTAAGGGTGATGCTTACTGGTTAACCAGTTAATACTGACTGGGGTGTAAATGATTATCAGTCAAAATAATTTAAAATTAAAAATAAAAATTGAATTCTGCCAAGCCCATCTGCTTTAGTACCTGAATAGAGCTCTGAAGACATTGCTGGAGTATTCCCTTTTCTGGAGAGAGAATAATCTTGTAAATGCTTCAACAGTTCACATAGCAGTATCTATTAATTTCAAACTGAATCAAAGTAGAAAAGTATTTGTAAAAACAATTCAGGAGTTAACTTTGAAAATATTGTCATAAATAGTTAAGAAACCTGACCAATGTATACAACAAAGCTGCTGCTAACCACTTAATAAAAATTAAGCCACTATCAATAGAGAGATTATTTATGAAGAACAGCCTTTATTTACAGCAGTATTTAAGAAACAAGTCAGTCTTTAACTCTAACCTTTTGGGAATGTGACTAAAAGTGGAGGGAGAGTAAATGGAAAGCTCTATGAGCCATACTTTAGATAAATGCCAGATATTTTGGAAATATTAAAAGCTTGAGCAGAAATTTCAGTCTTTTGTGAAGATGTGTTCTTGCTGATACAGTATATTGATTGCTGTCATCTTATGAATGAAGGAAACAAGTTATCTGTATATTTAACAAGCTGATGTATCCAGCATGATGTTTGTTTATTAAAATAAATGAAAAATGTACATGCTTTATTTCAATGTTTGTGTTTTGTGAAAATGAAGGCTGGAGTGACGGTTCAGGCATAAGAGGCAGCTTAGGGCAGAGGATTGGAAGGTGTGGGGGGGGGGGCTCAAGGCAGAGGTTGATGGCCTCAGGGCAGAGGGAAGGAGGTGTGGGTGCAGAAGTCAAGGCAGGTGGGAGGTGCAGGACTCTGGGCAGGGGGCTCAGGACAGGAGGCTGGGATTTGGAGAAGGGCTTACTGAGCCACCTGTGACATTAAGGGTGGCACTGCTCCAGTGGCAGCTCTTTCCAGTGGGACATGGCAGGACTCCCTGACCAGTGGCTCCTCCCAAGGGACTGGAATTGCGCTCCCCTGAGCACAGCTCCTCATGGGATGGGGGATCAGTGTCTGCGTGCTTGTCAGCTGAGGGTTGGGACTTTGTGGGCCAGCCCTGGCCTCAAGCTGCCCCTCCCCTAGACTGCAGCCTGTCTGGGAGAGCCTAACCTACAACTGCCTCCCCCTAGCCTGCAGCTACTCCAGGGGGACCTTGCTTGGGGCAGTGGTCACCCCGTAGCCTGTTGGTGGAGCAGCACTCTGCAAGCTGGTCCCACCCTCCAATAGCCCCTCTGAGACTTGCAAGCTGTCTGGGGAGGGGCCATGCTCTGGGGGCTTCCCTCTCCTTTAGCAGGTCTCCCCCCACCATGTCCTGCAGGCTCTGCCTGGGGAAGGGAATGGGCTCTGGGATAAGGGGGCTCCTTACCCAGTCTGGAGGCAGGCAAGATGGCGGAACCCCAGCCCTGCCGGCCATTCTCTTTGTACTGCAGCTGCCCCCAGTGGCCATTCACAGTATCATGTCCCTCTTCTCTGGCCCTCCTTTTCATATCTCTCCACTCACTCCCCCCTCCCTTTCCATGTTACGGAAAACAGTCACATTCATGGCACTTCCTGCTTCCAGGCACAGCTAAACCCTGACCTTGGTTTAAGTTATGACAAGAGAAAGCTGCATATAAAATTTGATGGTCCTAGCTCTTACGGTTTAGGAGGAGTTCTTGAATAAATGGACAAACAGACACGTGGACTGATGGATGCACTCTAAAATTATATATATAACGATCATTTTAATATAGCATTGTACAAATTTGTGGCCCTACATATCAGACAAAATGTCATGGTTTTCAACCTCATTTATTTAACTTTATTTCAACAAGGTTTGTGACAGAATGAAAAATTCAATTACTTGTAGCAAGGAAGGTAGACTAAATAATCTATGGCGTGGACCAAAAAAGTCAGCATTTTCTGTGTCTGGGCTAAATCATGACAACGTGTAAAAATGTCTGACCTGTTGCCAGTTATTCGATTTTCAAAATATTGGGTAATATATAAGAAGGTTCTGGGTCCTTTACGGTGAGAAATGTAAAGCTATTTGTTGTTATATTATGTACTACATGGTTACATGCAATATATTTTTGGTTGCAATAGGAGCTGAGAGAGATACATAACAAGCAGCAGCTTCAGAAGCAAAAGACCTTAGAAGCTGAAAGGCTGAAACAGAAGGAGCAAGAGAGGAAGATGATAGAATTGGAAAAGCAAAAAGAAACCCAAAGGTAACAGTTTTAGTTTATGTTAAGTAAAATAAATCTATGTAGAGCCATATGTGTTCCCAGTGTTTCTCAAACAAGTAAAATTCTGTTCCTAAGAATTTAATCTAAACTTGGTTATTTACTGAGCATCATCAGTATGTTGGCAGCTCTACAAAATGAGGGGAAAAAACTGGCTCTTCTCCACCATGATCACCTGCATTATAGTGACTACTACGATCATCACAGGAGTGTGATTTTTTTCTCTCAACACTCCTGCCCAGCAAGAACCAACACATCTTATGAGACACATCAACCATGGTATTCTCACTATCCCCTGTGGTATCCAGATTGATCTGACCATCCTCAATATCAACCCTGCAGGTCCCAATGCTGTCACTGGGCTCCCCCACGATACTGATCAATGGCACCTCCTACACCGGCTCAAAGATCCTTACTACCTGCTCATCTACTCCCTTCACTGCCTCCCACAGAAGATCTCAAGATGGAAGCAAGACGAGAGCAAGATGGAACAAGGGCTGATTACCGATAATGCAGACATCCAACAACCTGATGTGTTGCCTACTGACAAATTGTTGTCATCACTGGATGAGATGGTTATCCCTGACAACTCTTCACCAGCTGATGACGTGAAACAATTTCAGGACTTAGCAACTACTTTGAGTACCAGCTAGGAGGTTGTGTTATCAGAAGTGCAAGAAAAACAGCACAAACTCTTAAAGAATCTGCAACCTTCTGCAAAATCGAAAATTGCGCTTCCTTTAGATGAAGCAATCTTGAAAACAGCAGATGAAGTATGGCACACACCAGCCACATGCTCCCTCCCCCCCCTCCTTCGCCCCTGACTAATAAAAAGGGCTGATAGAAAATACTTCGTCCCCTTGAAGAGCATGGACTTCTTATTTTTACACCTTCAGCCCAACTCCTTAGCAATTGATGCTGCAAACCAAAGAGCTAAGAACCCTCAATATAAATCCAATAGTCAGGATAAAGAATATAAATATCTGGATTGATTCAGAAGAAAAAAGTATGCCTCCTTGACTCTTCAACTTGGTAGAGCATATTATACGGCGCTCTTAGCTCATCACGACTTTGACAATTATGCAGAGCTAACAGAACTGATGCAACATTTCCAGATGACATGAGACCCATACTCAAATCTATCATCCAAGAGGGGTACGCTACATCCTGCACAGCACTACCAATGATGCTCAATTCTGCCGACACAACGACAAGAACAACAGCAACATCCACAGTAATGAGGCACTCATGGCTGCAAGCAGCTGGTGTCCTCAAGGACCTCCAAACAGTTGAGGGTTTACCATTTGACCAGGACAAACTCTTTGCTGTGAAGACAGATGACATTTTCCATTCCAGCAAAGACTCACACACCACCTTATGCACCTTAGGGATGTACACACCCCCTTCCATAAGAGGTATTACTTGCCCTACCAGAAACAGGAAGATTTCTCGTTTGGCAGATAGCAACAAAGACCCATTTGACCATGGTCATTCCAGATCAAGGAACCAACACTGGAGAGCCCCTAACACTTGCTCATCCGACTCAGAGGCCTCTAAACATTAAGTTCAAGGCTTTGGTCGAAGGCCTGCTCAACCTCTCCTCTACACCAGTGCCTCTCGAGTACAGCACATTCCATCATCATTTACACCCCCTTTACAGCCAGTGGGCAGCAATTACCCCAGTCTTTTGGGTTTTGGAGATCATCAAGTATGGATATTCCATTCCCCTGATGTCAGTCCTCCAACCTCTCCACCTTTCCCGGAACCTCTTCAGGGACCCCTCTCATGAAGCACTACTCCGTCAAGAGGTCCAACACCTACTAAGTATAGGAGCTATAGAAAAGGTCCCACAAAATATCAGGGAAGGGGATTTTAGTCAGATTAATTCCTGATTGGAAAAAAGAACAGGTGGTTGGAGACCCATCCTTGACCTAAGTCAATGAAACAAATATCTCCGCAAACAATGGTTCAAGATGATCACACTCACAACAAATATCCCGGCACTGGACAAAGGAGACAGGTTTGCAGCCCTCGTCCTCCTAGACGCGTGTTTTAATATAACCATTCACCCAGTACACAGATGCTTCCTCTGTTTTACAGTTGCTTCAGATCGCTTCCAATACAGAGTTCTTCCTTTCAGACTCTCTTCCACCCCTAGAGTTGGTTTTTTTTCAAGAAGTTGGCAGTTGCTGCAGCACGTTTATGCCACAAGGGCATCACAGTCTTCCCTTACTTAAATGACTGCCTTAGTCAAGGCTCCTCTCAACAAGCCACAAGAGATATGCTTCTCTTTACCAAGATGTTTTTCGAGTCCCTTGGATTCATCATCAGTGAACAGAAATCCATCCTCTGCCCCACCCAGTCTTTGGAGTTCATAGGGGCTCACCTGGATTCTAAGACAGCATGCAAATACCTCCCAAATCAGCATGATTTCAATCATAACATTAAGCCCAACTGTTCCCATATTGACTTGTCTCCGATTTACGGGACACATGGCAGCCATGACATACGTCATTCCTTATGCCAATCAGCACTTTTGCTGCCTTCAGCACTGGTTCACCTCGGTGTATACTCCTTCCAAACACCAGGTGCGCAAGCACCTTTCAGTTCCCCGGAGGTCCTTTGCCTAACTATGATGGTGGACCAAACATTGAAATATTCTCGGCAGTGTCCCATTCCATCAGACACAGCCATCCAAACAGGTCACTATAGACACTTTGCTCCTTGGTTGGGGAGCTCATTTTCAACAATACTTTGCCCTGGAAAAGTGGTTCAGTGAGTCTGGACTCCATATCCGATTTATCTTCTAGAACTCTGAGCTGTTCACAATGCATGCAAACACTTCCTTCAATATATCAAGGGCTCGACGGCACGTAGTCTCACTGACAACATAACTACAATGTTTTATATCAATTGCTGTGGAGGCGATACATCTTTGGAACAGGTATATCCACCACAAGATTACCATCATTGCTTCTTAACTACCTGGATGCAAGAATACTATGGCCGATACTCTCAGCCGCCACTTTGAAACATACCATGAGTGGGAGTTGCATATGCAGATTACACACCATCTATTCCACTGATGGGGCTGGCCATATTGCAGTGAGCCAGAATACCAAGTGTCCCCAATATTGCTCAAGAGGAGGCATAGGTCCCAGATTGCTAGGGGATGCTCTGCTTTTTCCATGGAATACTCACCTGGTCTACGCATTCCCTTCTATCCTACTCATCCCGAGTCCTCCGAAAGATAAATCGGATGAGGCCCAAGTAATTCTCATAGCCCCAGCATAGCCCAGACAGACCTGGATTCCCTACCTTTGTCAAATGTCTCTTCAACTTCCCTACCCACTTCTGAACCGTCCAGTCCTCTTATCTCAGAACAGACACACTCTTCTCCATGCCCAACTGCAAACAATACACCTGATTGCCAGGTATCTCTGATTCTCTGGGATGGAGCAGATGTGTTCACAACAAGTAGAGTGTATTACTTCACAATAGAAATCAAAGTAGGTGCAGTACTTACCTTTATAAGTGGAAATGTTTTGCCACATGCTGCCTGGGTAATCATGTCCAACCGTCTACTGCTCTGCTCCACTCGATCCTGGATTACATTATGTTCCTGAAACAGCTAGACCTGTCAGTTTCATCACTCAGAGTACACCTTGCCATGATTGTGGCTTTTCACCCTCCGATAAATGGCTTCTCTGTATTTCCACATCCTATTTCCAAGAGATTTTTGAAGGTGCTATAGAACCTCAACCTGCCATGTAGACCTATACACCTACATGGGACTTATAATTGGTCCTTCGTGTGCTCACAAGACCACCTTTCGAGCCCATGGCCAAATCCCCGCTTGCCCTTCTGACATTACATTAAAAATGGAATTTTTAACAGCAATTGCATCTGCAAGAAGAGTTAGTGAAATCACTGCTCTCACAGCATCACCACCCTGCACGATATTTCACAAACGCAAGGTTGTCCTTCAGCCCCACCCTTCCATCCTACCTAAAGTCATTGATTTCCACATCAGTGAACCTATAGTCCTTCCTACCTTTTTCCCAAAGCCTCATGCCTCCCGAGAGGAGGCTATGCTACATACGCTTGGATGTTTAATGAGTGACTGCATTCTATATAGACTGGACACAGTCTTTCTGTAAATCACAGACACTGTTAATTTTGTTGGCTAAATGTTCCGAGGAAATGCCACTCTCCTCCCAACCTATCTCCAAACTGATAACATTCTGCCTCATCCAGTGCTATTTATTCTAGGGCAGACCTCTCCCTCCACCTCCCAAGGCACATTCTACTAGGGCGCTGGTGACATCAACAGCTTTTCTGAAAGGAGTCTCTCTCCAAGAAGTATGCCATACCGGTACCTGGTCCTCTAATCATACGTTCGTGAGACACTATGCAGTTTCCACACAGGCTGACACAGGTACTATGGTAGCCAATGTAGTCCTCTCTCAGGCATGGCACCTAACTGAAGCCCACCTACCAATTGCATGGATACTGCTGTATAGTCAGCAGCAGTGGAGCACCCACAGCGACATCACTCGAAGAAGAAAAGGAAGCTACTCGTGCAGTAACGACAGTTCTTCAAGTTGTGTGTCCTAGTGGGTGCTCCACTACCCACCCTCCTCCGCTCTTCTTTGGCTCACCAGCTCAAATAAGAGGGCGTTCACAAAGAAACTGTAGGGAGTTGAGACTCATGCGTGAACTCCAAAGGCAGGAATAGCCCATGCTGCTATTGTGCATGTGCAGCCCGACTAGACACAGTTAGGAAAAGTCTCCAATCTGCAGTGCAGGACAGACCCAACACCAGCCATCTTGAAGAACTGTCATTACTGCATGAGGTGAGTAACTTCTTTTTCTGATCAATAACCTAGTTTAAATAAAATGCATTTTTGGCAATTTGGGGGCGGGGGGGGAGGAAAGCTGTCATGCTGATTTAAAGAAATAATCATTTTGAATGCTCTGTCATTGAGACTACCTAGTGCTGTGAAGGAAAAGAGTATTGAGAGAGATGCAGTTTTAATGGCACAGAGCCAGCCGCCTCTTTTATACAGTTGCCAGTTGTGGTTGGACTTACTCCTGAACATTTCATCACATGACAGGAACTTAAAATTAATCTTTAATTCCTCAGAATTCCAGGACAATCCCTGAGAATTGTCGGACTTTACACTTTTAGCAAAGAACTCTCTTCCAGAAATGCAGTATTTATCATATCCAAAAGGCTTGTTCAGCTGGCTTGGCTGGTTTAGGTATGAGTATTTTGAAACACAAAAATATAGCCTTACATTTCCTGAGTAGATCTACAATGGCTTACTTTTCATTGTTGTAATTTTAAAACCTGAAATGCCTAAATTTAAGCTCCAAAACTTCAAGGGTGTTTATATTTTCATATGAATGATGTGATTTTTTTTCTACAGTTTGTCATTCTCGGAATGATTGCTTGTGGATTGTATTAATAGAGCTGTGCAAAAATTACAAGAAATAAAGCATAATGTATTGTTGAATTTGCAAATAAAACACAAAATAGAGAATATGAAACATGATTCTCATAGTAGCTGTGTTGAGTTGTTTATATGTTAACATATCCATTTAAATCTACCAACTGATGAGAAATGAGTAACTTCACAGTAATAACTATGACTCGACTTTTTTTTAAAAAAAATCTTAGCCCAATTTGAGAGTGTGAACACCAGCAGTTCTAGATCTCTCAAGATGTCTGTAAGACCAAGGTTATTTTTTTTCTGCCTGCATACAACTCCAGCACAAAATTAGTGAACTATTTTTCCATTCAGGAATCCTTGCTACTCTCATTTCACTGCTTAACTCTTATAGATGCTTCTGCAAAATTCAGGTTGTAAATTCTAAGATCTCATAAGCATGGCTGACAGGGTTATATTAAAAACTGAGTAGCAGTCATTCCTGTCAAGTTGTTATAATGTGCTGGTGCAATATATTTTCTAGGCAATTTCTCTGATTTCTATTAAGTTTAGCTTTTTGTCATCTTAGTTGGCAGAGAGTCATTAGCATTGACCTATGTCACATGCTGAGCTCTATTGGCAAAATACTATGTCCTTGGGAATTTTTCTGTAATAAGATGCTGTGGGATGAGTGTTCTATGAATGATGATGGAAAACATGTAAGCTAATATAAATCACATATTCACAAGGAAAACTAAATGTTATGTTTGTCACTTTGCCTGCTTTAAAAAAATTGTAATTGACAGACGAAACCAGGAAAGGGATAAACAGTGGCTTGATCGAGTGCAACAGGAGGAAGAGAACCAGTGGCAAAAAAAACTTCAGGAAGGTGAAAAGCAAAAAAGGGAAGAAATAATCAAGAAGAAAGATAGTGAGGATAAGGGCAAACAGGAAATGCAAGATAAACTGAATAAGCTTTTCCATCAACATCAAGAGCCAGCCAAGCCGGCCATTCAGGCACCGTGGTCAAGTGCAGGTATGGAAGAGAAAGGAAATCTAAAACACTCTTCCTTATGTCCTGTCTTCTGATTTCAGATGTTGGATGTTTATTCAGACTAAGTTGCTGATCTTGTTTAAATGGTTTATGGCTTATATTGTCCACTGTGCATCACAGAGCTCTTCTGGGCACTGTTGCTGTCCCTGCAAGTGTGGAATTTAATAGTCACATAAGAAGTGGAAAGGGACTGGATGAGATGCACCATGCAGATTGAAGAAGAGAATTTAGCTGTAAAATGGTGTTTGTCTCCAGCAAACTATTGTATATCAAAATTATGGGATGATAACGTTGCCATGTTTTACCTTTTCAAGGCAAAATTGCACTTCAAAAACCACTTCCTTCATCCCTGTGTATAATTACGTTGGTCTATAGCATCTGTTTTGGGATTTTTCCAGGGTAGAGGCAGTATGTATCTAGCTATTAATATACAATTAAAAAAACAATTTATTTGAAATAAAAACTTAAACCCAGGTAAGGGATAATAAATACACAGGATGTTATCCATCAGCCCTGAGGTATTTGCTAGATACGTTGTAACGAGACTGTAAAAGGTCACTATATGGATAATGACCATCTATACCAGGAACTTATTGACCAAGTTAATCCGTTACATCAGTGCAGTGCTTAAAAACAAAACAGGAAAAGTTGTAAAATAATTGTACATGGTCTTAAATGTAGGTATTTTCTATATAAATAGCTATGTGTTTACTAAAAGCTAAAAGCATATTATTTTAAATAGGTGGTGCTAAAGGAGAAAATAGAGAGAAAATGTAAGTTTAATTATTTGTTTGCTTATTTCCCCTTATGTAAAATGGGGATAGTACTTACTCTGCCTCTCTGGGACATTGTGATAATTAATACTTTGCCTCTCCTTGTTTTTTTGGTTTTGGTTTTGGTTTTTTTGCCTCTCTTCTAAAGTGTTTCACAAACTTTTTGTTTGTTTGTTTTTTAATATGTATTTTTTTCCTCTTTATATAGAAAAAGCTCCACTGACTATTTCTGCTCAGGAGGATGTAAAAATAGTGTATTATCGAGCATTGTATCCCTTCGAAGCCAGAAGCCATGATGAAATCACTATTCAACCAGGTGACATAGTCATGGTGAGAGAAATGTGACGTTTCTTGAAAAAAATTTACTTTGTTCTATATCTCTGCTTATATTCTTATACCAGTATTTTATCCATCCTAACTCTAATTTACATTTACCACGAATATTATAAAGAAGTTGTAGAGACTGAAATGTATAGTGTGTACTGTTTTGTATATTATCCCTGGTGTTAGAATAATGAGCGAGACAAGGTGGGTGAGGTAATATCTTTTATTGGACTATCTTCTTTTAATAAGCTTCAAAGGGGTGGCTGAGTTAATATGTACAGGATAAACTTAAAAAACAAAAGATAGTCTGGTAGCACCTTAAAGACTAACAAAACATGTAGATGGTATTATGAGCTTTCGTGGGCACCACCCACTTCTTCAGCTGTGCCCTCAAAAGCTCATGGTACCATCTACGTGTTTTGTTAGTCTTTAAGGTGCTGTCATAGTATTTGTTGTTTTTTAAATGTATTCTGTTAGTGAGAGAGACCAACTGTCAAGCTACACAAAGCTCTTCTTCAGACCTGGAAACCTTAGGCCAATTCTACACTACAGACCTATGTCAGGATAACTATGTTACTCAGGAGTGTGGAGCTTCTCTCACCAATACCACCACTGTGCCTTGGGGAGGTGGATTAACTATAGAGCCCTGCAAATTCGTGGGTATCCACATCCTCAGGTATGGCTGGAGATATCTGCAGCTCATTTTAGTGGATATGGATAGGGATAGAAATTTTATTATCTAGAACCCTGCAGATTTGCAGATATCCATGTGGATATTCATGGCTTATTTTGGCGGATACAGCTGTGGATGTGGATACTAATTTTGTATACAGGGCTCTAACTATGCCAACTGGAGAAGGTCTCCAGTTGGCATAGTCATTTAGTGGGGGAAGAAAACCATTACAGTGCTACATTTGCAGGGGTGCAGCTGTATGGCTGTACATGAAGCAAGTCCTTGCTCTGAAAGTTATAGCTAAATACAGAATGGAACAGATTGTTTAGCATAAATTTAACACACATTTCAAGGGAACACTGAAGATATGAAATGGCCTGTTAGCTCTCCTCTAAGGCTCAGGTAGGAAAGGAAAGAAATGGTGTTAGTGGGTTACAGATAGTTGTAATAAGCCATAAATCCAGGGTCTCTATTCAGTCCTGGCAATGTTATGAATTTAAATGATCAGGTTTATCTTTTGAAAGTAATAGTGCAGGTTTTCTGTGAGGGTGAAGACTGAGAGGTCATATATAGAGTGATCACTCTGTGAAATGTGCCTTCTTGCTTACAAATACACTTCAATAACAATCAAAGATGTGGGAATGGGTGCTTTCTGATCCTTCTACCTGTCTTGGTGTTGAGTGCAAGGGATACCATA